TAGACGGGCCCAGCCTGGCTCAGGTCCTTCCTGCACTGCCTGATTGGTAAGGGGCTTACTGCATCGAAATCAGTGCTCTGGGAGGGGGGGTCGGGCGCAGGCTGCCCCAGGGAGAGAGGACTCCCAGCCCTGACTGCAGTAACTTGGGGCCAGGTGAGAAGCGCCTCTCCGTGGGCACTGCAGCCCCAGCTGGGGCAGATCCAGGTTCATCTGCCCCCCGCAGTCCCCAGCCAGAACGAGGAATGCAGCAAACGGGGCACTTTCCCGTTCCGGGCACCACCACGGCCTGGCCTTGCTTGAAGCCAGGGGAGGAGGAAGCTACCTCCGCCGGGCAGCGGGCCTTGCGCTCACGGCAGGAGTCCTGGCGGCCAGACTCGCGCAACCGGAGCACAGATTAGTGTTTATCTTAGAGACGGTTCCCCTAGCTGCTCCTAAATTTGCCCCTCCCTCCCCTGTAGTTGGAGGCTGCCGCCTCCCCACAGCAAGTGGGGCAGGCCGGGCTGGCCGTAGCACACACCTGGCTGCTGGCCGGGTTTGTAAGGAAAAGGTGGTGACGGTAGTTTCTGTAAATATTGAATTTAAAGTGCAGCACCTTTACCAGGAACCCCTCCCCCAGGCCAGCAGGTGACCCAAAAGGAGGCTTGAGCCCTGGTTCCCTGCCACCCCGGCTGGAGGGAGCTGAGCTAACGGGAGTGACCCTTCCCTTCCCTTCCCTTCCAGGCAGGCTGCGTCTGGGATGTAGCCCGAAGCAGGCACCAGGGTTGCAGGCCGGCGTCCCTGCCAAGGACAGCGATGTTGATTGCACCAGCCCGTTGCTGAACGGGTCTGAAGGGAGACTCCAGTTCCTGGAGCTCTGAAGGCCAGAGCTGCCGGGGGTGCAGGCCCGGGAAGCTGGGGTGCAGAGGGTGCTGCAGCATGCCCAGGTTTTGCACCTGACTTCCCTGGACCCAGCTGGGGGTGGGGGGACACAGCCCAGCCCTCCCCACCTTACAAATAGTCCCAGGGGTGGGGGGGAGGTTTCCTGCTGCGATGGGCGGGGGGGTTAAACTCCCAGCCAATCAAGAGCAGGCTCTGGCCAAGCAGGGCCATGTGGCTGCAAAGCCGAAGTCATGAGCAGCCGACCAGGCAGGGGCCCAAAGCCAGGCCTGGCACAGGCCTGCCCACAGGTGACAGCACTGGGGCCAGATTCCCCACTGCTGCTCTGCTTGGGCTGGGGGCCACGGCAAACGCAGGCTTTCGAATGTGGCCGGGGGCAAGGCAGCCCCCCTGAGCCCTGCGCTGGCGCCCCACGCAAGGGGCACCGGGCCTGGTGCCCTCCGAGCCAACAGGCGCCACTGGCAGGAAACGTCCCTCCTACATGAGCCGCATTGTCACTGCCTCTGGCCAGGGCTCCTCCCGGCCCGCGCGTCCCCTCCTCGCGGCTACCACGGCCCAGCCGCCGAGCAGAGCCCAGAACAGCCCCTCAGCCCAGCTCCGCTCCCCAGGGGCCCACGGGCTGTTCTGGGAGCAGGGTGGTGGGAGACCAAAGATGCTTACTCCAGCGGGGCCAGGGTTGAGTAAAAGCAGCCCCGGGGCCATGGTGGATGGATGCACACGCTCAGTAAGCCACAGCTTTGGGCAGGAGGGGGCAGCTGGTAAGGGGCAAAGCCACTCCCTTCCCTGATAGTATGGAGGTTTGGCGGGTGCAGAAGGGATGTTGGGGTAAGGCATTTGGGAGCGGGGGGGGGGGGCTGGTGGCAGGAGCCTGGGTGCAGAGTGGGAGGGAGTTTGTGTGCAGGAGGGTGGACAGAGGGTTTGGGGTTGTGGGGTGGGGGTGCCAGAGGCAGGCCCTGGCAAGGAGACACGTTCCTGGGTGATTCCTGGCGGGTCAGAGCAGCAGC